CCAGGCTCTAGGCTCTTATCACCAATTACCTTTTGGACATTTTAAACAGGACATCCCATAGGCATCTCAAACTCAATACATCCAAAAGGACATTTCCCCCCCAAATCCTCCTCTCTTGAGGATTCCACCATCCTTCCATCCCTCAGGTTCACCACCTAGGTGCCATCCTTGACTTCTCACTCTCTCTGTCTCTCACGCACTCCTCCATGTCCAATCTGTTGCCAAGGCTTTTCAACCCTACCTTTGTAAAATCTCTTGTATGTGTCCTCTTCTCTCCTCTGACACTTGCCACCACTCTGGTACAGGCCCTCATCACCTAACACCTAGACAATTGCAATAGCCTGCTGGTGGGTCTACCTGCCTCAAATCTCTTCCCGACTCTAGTCCATTCTCCATTCAGCTATCAAAGGGATCTTCCTAAAGTGCAGGTCTGACCATGTCACTCCCATATTCAGTGAACTATAAGGGTTCCCTCTTACCTGGAGGTTCACCTATAAACTCTTCTGTTTGGCATTTAAATTGTGCCTCTTCCTACTTTTAAGCCTTATTATATTGTTCCCCTTCCCCCACTCTATGGTCCAGCCAAATTGACCTTCTTGATGTCTCTCCTACATGTCCTATTGCTGGACCTTTATACTATCCAACCCACAGGTCTAGCATGTATTCCTTATGTCCACCTCTTAGAATTCCTAGTTTCCTTCCTTCAAAACTTAAGATCAAATGCTTCCTTCTATATGAAGCCTTTCCTGACTCCTTCAGCAATTGGTACCTTCCAAAAATCGCCTTGTATTATTTTTATTTTTATTTTCTTGCTTTTAGGCAGTTGGGGTTAAGTGACTTGCCCAGGGTCACACAGCTAGTGTCAAGTGTTTGGTCTGAGACCCAGATTTGAACTCAGGTCCTCCCGACTTCAGGGCCAGTGCTCTATCCACTGCACCACCTAGCTGCCCCCATGTTATATTTATTTTATATAATATCGCTGAACTTGGGATCTTTTTTTTTGTTTGTTTGTTTTTGCTAAGCAATGGGGTTAAGTGACTTGCCTAGGGTCACACAGCTAGTAAGTGTCAAGTGTCTAAGGTGGGATCTGAACTCAGGTCCTCCTGACTCTAGGGTCGGTGCTCTACCCACTGTGCCACCTAGCTGCCCCTATTATTTTTAATACGTTCTGCATTTGCATGTTGTCTTCCCTGATAGAATGGAAGCTCTTTGAGGGCAGGGTTTCTTTTACTTTTGTCTTTGTACCCCTGGTACCTAACAAAGTACGGAGCACATAGTGGGTGCCTAATGAAAGCTTGTTGATTGATTGGGTGTTTTTGGCTCAGACTAAGTTATCTCTGAAGTTCCTCCCAGCTCTTGTCTGTGTTCTCAGGCATCTTTTAGCCTTTAAAGTCTTGTGGGAAGTCTATATACCCAATCTCCAAGTTGCTTTCAAGTAATCCCATTTGATCTTCTATAACTGGAACCTTCCCCTCATACTTGGGGAGGCTGACACATGCAGTATTCCATCCCCAGCATCCATGTTTTTGTCCAGACCATTGCCTAGGCCTAGAAACCCATCCTTCACCTCTGCCTGTTGGAACTCCTTTCCTCAAGGCTCAGCACCAGCTTAGGTGCCATCTCCTACCTGATATGGGTTCATTTTCCCAGTGCTAAGAGCTGCCCCTACTTTCCTTGTAATTTCTTTGTATTTATCTTGTGTATGTTTTGCATTTAATTACCTGTATGTACATCATTTCCTTCCAGTAGGACTAGATGGGTCCTCCGAGGACCTGAGGAATTCTATAAGGGTGAAAACAAAGGGCAGAATGAGCTCCTTAAGGGTTTGGGAGGGGCAGGGAATACACATTTATTAAGCACTTACTGTGTGCCTGGCACTGTGCTAAGTACTTTACAAATCATCTTACTTGGTCCTCACGGCAACCCTAAGAGGTAGGTGCTATTATTACTCCATTTTACAGCTGAGAAAAATGAGGCAGACAGAGGTTAAGTGACCTGCCCAGGATCACAAAGACACTAAATATCTGAGGTTAGATTTAGACTCAGGTCTTCAGGCTCCAGGCCTAGCCCTCCATCCAAGGCCAACAGGGACTTTATCTTTGTATCATCCTCAATTCAACAACACTTAAATACTTGCTATACGTAAGGTATTGTGCTGGGTGCTGGGAATACAGAGACAAAATCCTTTGAAGGGCTCATTTTCTACAAAGGTGATAGAGAATATTCTAGACATACACACGTGAATACAATCCAGTCTTAGAAAGGAGGGATGGCTAACAGCTGGAAATGAGGTCAAGAAAAGCCTTGCCTAGTAGGTGGCCCCTGGGAAGGAAACCAGGTTGAAGTGAAGTTGGTGGTGGTGGGAGACAGAGAGTGGCGTTAATATGGGTCAATACTGGAAAGGTAGGTGGCAGCCAGCGTGGTGAGGGGCTTAAAGGTTTCTGAGTAGCTGGGGGGGGGGGGTGATGACATGATTAGCTGTCTCTTGGGAATATTAATTTGTGTTCTGCTATGTGAATGATGAATTGGAGGGGGGGAGACCCAAAACAGGGAGCCCAGTGAAGGTGTGTTGAATTGAGGTGAAGATGCAAAAAGGCATATTTAGGCTCAGTGCAAGGAGAAAATATGTTTGTAATGCTTAAAGCTATCCCAAAGGGGAATGGGCTGACCCAGAAGTGTTCCTCCTCATGGAGATTTTCTATCAAAGAAGAGGCGACTTTTAAGAAAGACGAGACCTCTGAGGACCTGAGGGATTTTATGATTCTGTGAGCCGAAAGACAAAGGACAGGGAGAAAGTTAGGGACTAAAATCACCTCTCCCCCCTGGCACGAGGCTGATGCCAAACTCTAGTTGAGTATCATCTGAGGAAATCCTCAGCGGGTCCATGTGGATGGTTTGGAAGGAGGGACCTTTGTTACTATTATCCTGTCTCTCCTCAGCTGTGGGAAGGCAATTATGGGCTCCCACAACCTGGTCCGGAATTCAGAGCAAGAAGACATAGGCGAATTCTATCTCTGGGGCAGGCACCTTTCCATGGGTTACCTGAACAATGAATATAAGACGAAAAAGGCCTTTGACCCAAAAGGTTGGCTGCACACTGGAGACATGGGCACCGTGGATAACGAGGGCTTTATCCACATCATTGGCAGGATAGAAGGTAACTGAGAGGGCAACACGCTAGACAACTTTCTATCAACAGCTTCCTTCTTCCTTACTTAATGACTTGTGAATGAAGGAAAGGGAAAACATTTATTAAGCTTTTAACTATGTGCCAGGCACTCTGCTTAGTGCTGCTAGGGCAGTCTTGGCCCTAAAGGAATGTATATTCTTTTAGGGGGATGGATAGGGGAGTGGTGGCCTGGGTGGGGTGTTTTGGTCAGAGAAGTCATGAGATGATGGGTAGAGTTACAGGACAATGGACTGCCCAGGGATGGTACCATTGACTGGGTTACTTTTCCCCTATTAGGGCAGAAGAGTCATCTTGGCGTGAGGATGGTGGGAATGAGGGGAATAAGTATTTCTATGGTGCCTACTATGTGCCATGCGCTTTTGCAAAAATGATTTCATTTGATCCTCACAACAACCCTGAGTGGTAGGTACTAGTTTATCTCCACTTTACAGTTGAGGAAACCGAGGCAAACTGAGGTTAAAGTGACTTGCCCCAGAGTCGCACAGCTAGGAAGCATCTGAGGTCACATTTGAACTCGGGTCTTCTGACTCCAGGCACAGTGTTCTATCCTCTTTGCCACCAGCTGACTCTACCTGTAGCAGCAGCCAGCTAGATTCTGGATGCTTAGTTACAAAACCCAGGAACCCAGGCAGGTGCTGGAGAGCCAGTTTGGAGGTGAACACCAGCTTGCAGATCTTCTTACTCACAGGATCATGAACTTCGAACTAGAAGGAACTCTGAAATCATCTAGAGCTTGTTTTCTAGAGCAAGGACCAAGTGAGATAGATGACATCCTTGAGGTCATGCTGTTAATAAGCAGGCGAGCTAGAATTCAAATTCAGCTTCGCCAATCTCAATCCTCAGCAACCACTTCTACTCTACCTCACCCCAGCATATGACCTGCCGGAGATAGTTTAAAGTAAATATTTAAACCTCATTAGCAAGAACATAGGAATTAATCAAGGGAATACAGTCCACTAATCTGCCCATTCTCAGGAAGTAACTGCCAGGTGTCAAACTGATGGCTTTGGATCAACTGGTAATTGTTCCTTGAAACTGAAAACAAATTAATTCTGCAATTGAATTCACCTGGCCCGGCACATGTGACTTCCCATGCTGTGGCCCTTTGCAAAATACTTGAATTCTTCTAACCTGATTAGTCCAACATTCATTTTACAGAAGGGGAAACTGAGGTCCAAGAGAAGGAAAGAGACTTGCCCAAGGTCAAACGGAGTTGATGGCAGAACCATGGGTAGGGCTCAAAGTTTCCTCACTTCCTGCTCAGAATGTTGCCTCACAGGATGTGAAAAGGACCATGACAATTCACATTTGCAAAGCACATGATGGTCTATGGAATGCTCTCCCCTCCTCACCCTGTGTAAAAAGTACTATTTTCATTTTATCGATAAGGAAACCAAGGCCTAGAGAAAGAAAGTGAGTAGCCCCAGCTCACATCTAGGAAGTGTTAGATCTGGGGCTTAACCATAGATTTTTTTTGGCTCTAAGAGCAGTATTTTTTCTACTACTCTACATTGCTTCCAGGATGATAATGACAAAATCGACATGAAAGTACTTTACAAACCGGGAGTTTGGTAAAATGGGAATTGCTCTGCAAACTGTAAAGGGCTCTGTAAAATGCCGGTTGCTCTGTAAATTGTCAAGTGTTCTGTAAACTGTCAAGTGCTCTATATAATGAATTGCTTTGTAGACTACAAAGCACTGGGGGAATATCAATTATTTCTATTTTGAAGAATGTAGTTGCTTTGTTGACAAAACAAAACATTCCCCTGTGTCCTAAAAGCTTTTTTTTTTTTTTTTGGTACTGTTTCAGAAGTTATCATTACCAAACGAGGGGAAAAAATCTTTCCTGTACCAATTGAGAATATGCTGAAGGAGAATATTCCCATTATCCACCATGCTATCATCGTGGGAAACCAAGCCAAATTCCTGAGTGTACTGCTAACACTAAAGGTCTTTTGCTTTATTAATTGGCTTTTATGAAATATTGGGTAGGGGTGGTGGTGATATCCTTACTGAGCCCTCCACTCTTCTGTGGGGACAAAGTATACCTAAAATCCATGGTCAGCCAAAGCAATGAAGCCCATACCTATACCCTGCCACCTTAAGTGTCCTGCCCAGGTTCTGACCCATGGATGTGGACCTGCCATTCACAAAACAGGGCAGAAACTTGTGGCATCCAAGTGGACAGTTAGCATTCAGTGACTACCTGTATTGTGCTGAGGACTCAGGGGCTACAAAGAAACATAGACTCAGTCCATGCTCTCAGGTGGCTTCATTCTATAGCCTGGGAGACCAGAAAAACACCAAAAGAAGGAATCCCTCCCTAGCTGTTCTCAAAGCACAGTTCAAATAGCTGATCCTACACCAAGTCTTTCCTGACCACTAAAGCTTCTATTTACTAGTGCCCCTTCTCAAAATTGCATACTTTGTGTTTACTGTATTTACTTACTTCACCTGCAAGAGGCCACATTGGGCAGTGGGGAAAAGACCAGCCTTGGAGTTAGGATGACTCCTGTTGGTGGCCACCATCCCCCTCCGACACATATGCTGGCTGTGTAAGCCTGGGCTGTTCACTGATCTGAATTGGTGGAGGCATTTTCCTTACTGGGAGTTCACCTATACTAATGAAATCACTGGTCTGGTCCATGTACTTATAGAGGGCATCCCAAAAGTCTTAGTGCAGGTTTTCTAGGTTGTTTTTTGTTTTTTTTTTAATGGCTTACAACACTGAGGCTCTTGTGACACCTATATATACACATTGGTTTCCCTCGACAGACTAGTTTCTTGAGGTTAGGAACTATTTTTATCTTTCTATCACCAGAGAACTAGGGCAGTATGTGGTACATTGGACACAAGACACTCTATCTCCTAATTCCAGGCATTTCCACTAGCTATCTCCCCTGTCTCTCTCCCTCATCTCCATCTCATGGCTTCCCTGACTTCTTTTGGCTAAAATCCCACCTTTTCTAAGAAGCCTTTCCCAATCACCCTTAATGCTAATGGTTTTTCTTTGTTGCATTTCTCCAGTTTATTCTGTCTATAACTTGTTTGTACCTAGTCATTTGCATGTTATCTCCCCCTCACTGTATGCCCAGAATCTAGTTGGCACGTAGTAGGCACTTAATGAATACTTGCTGACTAACTAGTTTGCTGAGTACCAGGGAAATAGTGTAGACAGTGAGTCCAATAGAAGCGATTCTTGGGGAGCAGTTTCTTGGGGGGGGGCATACTAGCTAGCTATTTTGACCCATCTTCAGACAGAGGAGTCCTTGGCTTTGGGGCAAATCTTTGGAATCATATCTAGGGTGAGGGGGACATGTCATGGTGGGGGGAGGGGAAGGTGTGTGGGAGGGAAAGCATTTATTGCCAATGAGTCTGGGTGATTTCTCCCACAGTGTGAGACCAGCTCGGACACAGGTGAGCCTCATAACACACTGACGCAAGAAGCCATCAATTTTTGCCGAAAGAACAATAGTAAGTCCGTCAAAGTGACAGACATCATGAATAACCAAGACCCCATCATTGATGCCATAATACAGAAAGGCATCGATGCAATCAATGAGCAACCCGAACACGAGACTCACAAGATCCTCAAATGGAAAGTCTTAGAGAAGGACTTCTCAATTATAGGTGGAGAACTAGGTAGGTGGGGGCTACTGACCTTCATCTGAAAACCCTGAGTGGGGAACTTTAGGATCCTGGAATATCAGAGCTGGAAGGCACCTTAGAACATACATATTAGAGCTGGAAAGGAACTTAGAATATAAACTGTCAGGGCCAAGTGGGTCCTTAGAATGTAAGACTCTCAGAGCTAGAAGGGATCCTATAGATCTCAAACTCAGTTCCCCCATCCCCCCCTTTACAGTTCTGGGGGAAACTGAGGCCAGAAAGAAGAAAAACTGACAGTATATTCAATAAGCCACTGTCAGAGCAAGAGTTTCTGACTCCTGACCTCCCGGGCTCTTTCTTCCAGACCATAGGCACTGGGTCAATGAGGAAGAGTGGAATTCTGGGTAAAGTCTGAGCAGCTTGATTCTTAAAGATTAATCGACATTATTGATATTTTCTCCATCAACTTAAGTCTATAACCAACAAAACAAGTAAATCCCCAATTTGCAGTGTTTGAGATTCCCAAGGTGTACATGCTCCCATTGGAAATTTCACTGTGGAAGCTGGCTTCAGCACACCCACCCCTGGTCCTCCCTCTACCCTGCTTTTTACTTAGTAAAATTGGGGGTCTTGGACCCCATAAATCCTCAACATATGTGCCCTGAACACTGGCTACATATCCCAGTTGGAAGCGCCCTTAGCATTTAGTTCAATCCCTTCTTTTTATGAATGGAGCAAATTGAGGCCTAGAGTTGGAATGGGTTTGCCTGTGGTCCCACAGTAAGCAACAGAGCCTAGATTCAAACACAGGTCCTCTGGACTTGGGGAAGGTGCAAAAGAGCCTGGCACGTAGGGAGTGAACATGGTAAGAGACCCCATCTGGCCAGAGCTCTGGGTTCAGACAGGTGAATGGGAAACAAAGGTAGTGATGTAGGGAGGATGGAAAGAGGAATGGCTTTAAGTCAGAGGACTGGGTTCAAATCCCGTCACTATCCCTTATCACTTGTAGGACGTTGGGCAAGTCACTTAAATTCTCTGGGCCTCTGTTTCATCAAAGGGAAAATGAGGGGGAGCCCTTTTCATCTCTAGGTCTATGACTCTATGAATACAACTCTTGCAGAATTATGTAGGTTAGTCTTCTGTTTAGTTCGGTCCTTTAAAAAATCTTACCTGGTACTACGTTTAAATAATGGGATGTAGTTGAAAGAGCCCTGGACTAGAACTAGCATTCCCTGGCTGGAGGCCTGCATGACATGCAGCAATCCCTCTCTCTAGGTATGGTAACACTTGTACTGCCTTTTCTCCCAGTGCTTTGTAAACTCTAGGGCGCTCCAATAACATAAGCTACGATCCTTTTGAAGGCTTTTCAAGCACAGACGGAGCAAAAAAAATAAATAAACCAACCAATTTTCAGCATCTCTGCATTCTTATCAGGGAGGAGTTTTCATAAACATGGGCACATTGACTTAGAGCCATGTGAGCATTTCCTCTGCTGGTGCAGTTCGCAGCCTATCTGCCTTCTTAGCTCCTGGACGGACAGTGCCCCTGCTGGCTCTGCCCCCTGTGCCGCCCCTTTTCCATGGTGCTAGCGAGGAATGTATGTACGCAGCCCATCTCGCCTCCCTTTTGATTCATTCATATTCCTTCTGATGCGACCTCCCACACAGGTGTCCTTGATAACTAGCGGTAGCCTGCTGACATTGCCCAGGTGTCTTTCTGTTCTTATTGGGTCCCCTTGCAGGTGATTGTTCTGACATCCTGGTGTCCCAGGATTCAGTTAAATCTCACAACTACAACAATAGTAGCAGGAGGCCATACTTCTTTGGTCCTTTCAAGTTTACAAAATGGTGAGGAAGGTAATGCAAGAATTATTACCTCCATTTTATAGAAAAGCCGAGACTTAAAGAGGTTGCAAGAGCCCTGGATTTGGAATCTTGGCTCCGAGATTTGTCAGCTGTGTGACGGGGAATGTCTTTCCCTCTCTGCACCTTAGTCTGCATCTCTGTAAAACGAGGGGCTTGGATTTGGTCTCCAAGAGCCCTTCTAGCTCCAAGTTCTCTGAGGGGAAAGGATGTGCCTAAGATCACTCAGATGCAGAGCTGTAATTCAAATATAGGTCTTCTGATTCCAATTCCGTGGGACTCTTTCCCCTAAGCCAGCTCCTCATATGGCAGGATTATCTGTCTTGGTCTGTCTCACACCCAGAAGCTTGAGAGCGAGCACCAGAAGGGACTTTCAACTTGCCCTTTCTGTCCCTAAACGACCCAGCACCCAGGCTGGAGGGGCCTCAGCCTTGATGGAACGACTCACTGTCCTTCTCTCCCTCAGGTCCAACCTCGAAGATGCGACGGTCACACATCATGAGAATGTACCAAACGACGATCGCCAGTTTCTATATCTAGTTCTCTCTGCAGTCTGGGTGTCCAGGTTGCCACTGACCATGGAAGGCTCCCTTTTTTTACCACTTGCATGTGGTTTCATGAAGAATGTGACCATCCTGAATTTAGCACGGTGCTTAACTCCTCCTCTTGGGGAACTTCCTGGTTTTAAAATAAAACTCCATCTTCCACAGATCAGGGAAGCCTTTGTCCTGGTTCTGACCCAGCCCAGGGTGGCATTATTTGGTCTCCATAACCAAAGAAGTGGTGAGTCATTTACCTTGCTAGTTCAAAGGAACTATGATATCCGTATATTATCTCCCTCCATCCAGACAGGTTCGAGTACCCCCATCCTGTGTAATCCTGGTGTATGTCTTTCTATAAATCCTCCCGAGAGGATGTGCCCTGCTTTACTACACATTTTTCTCTGGGGCTTCTGATTTTTGGGGGAGCTTTTCTCTCATTACATGTCTGGACCATCTCCTTTTAGTCATACCTGCCACTTTTATGATTTTGGTGAAAGCACCTTTTCTTACCCCCTGTATTTACCTGCTGATTCATTTCACAGATGCAAGATAATATAAAGTAATGAACAAAAACCCGGGAGTGAATGTTAACCTATTTTATTGCCCCCATAGAGCAGACTTTAAAGTGTGGAGACTGAAGTCATAAATGCAGGATGTTGAACAACCTGAATGACATCTTAATTTTCTTTGTGGCTTTTTTTGCTACCCTTAGCTCTGGGAATAAGCAGATTTTAAAAAGTCTCATAAATCATAGTTCCAGTACATGAGGAGATGCCCATTTCTATGCATTTTAATTATAAATTTAACTCTTGAAGACTGTCCACCATGCCCCCAAATTGTAGAATTACACAAACCTGGAACTCCAGAAGCCTTCCAGCCCAATGCATACTTGAATGAGCAACTTCCAACAGTCATTTAATCTATACCTGAAGACCCCAGTGAGGGCAAACCCAGGACCGCTTCTTATTAAGAAGTTGTTCCTTAATTTCTGAAGCCAAAATCTGCCTCCTTGCAAATTCCAATCACTGTGATGCACTGATGGAGAGTATTCACACTGACAAAATGATGGCATCTGTGAAGTGTGAGATACTTTGTGCACATAAAGCATGATTTTAATACCCTTCCCTCAAGGACCCCCATGAATCAACAGTCTGGGGCTCTTGCCTGAGCTGGCACTCCTCCCCCCCAAAAAAACCCCAAAAACAAAAAGGGGAGGACCCAAAGGGGTAGACTATAAGGTAATGGCTAAGGACTCAAAACATTAATTACTGACCACAGCACTCTTCTGCTCAGGTCTGAGACTGGAGTCAGGCAGTGTGGACAAATTAAGTCCAAGTAATAGGATTCCAAACCTCATGGTCCCTGTGAGGGCTTAAGAGCTAGCTTCCATTCCTGGGAATGGAGTCAGTACAGAATAAGTCCCTTTTTGTCTCTAAGCCTCAGTTTCCTCATCTGTAAAATAACGGGGCCTTTAAGATCCCTCCCAATCCCAAATCTATGATTATTTAAAGCATTTATTACATCTAGTGAGTGATGGGAAAGTCTGGTTTCTTCCAAAGCAGATGAAATCCTCTTAACCTTTATCTCACTACCTTTTCTGTGGGGCCAGATCAACTTATCCAGGATATTTTAACAGGGTCAGAAGTCAGGTAGGTCAGGAGAACTCTATAGACATAGAACACCTGAATTTTCTCCAAGCACCTATTAGAAGTTTCTCATGCTATCCTTGTGGACAAGATGGAGGGTTTTGAGTTAGATAAGACTACAGCTAAGTGCATTCAGAAAGTGATGGAATGCCTAGTCACCGAGAACAGGAGCTACAGTTGGAAGGAGTACCCACACCAACAAAATCCTAGGTTTTTTCAAGTAAAGCCATGGACTATGAAGGTGAAGGTGGAGGAAGTCAATCCCGGTCCTTAGGAATCAAGCGCTCCCAAGGTTGGAAAGAGCTGGGCCAGCACACAGTAGCAATACATTTACAGAACACCCTCAGTGCTTACCAACCACTTTTTTTCTCACTTTATGGATAGCAAACATATGGATGAACCCCAACTATTACATAAAGTTGGAGAGACAGATTATGTCACTTGAATGTAGGGAAAACACTCCTTAATGAGAGTGTGCAGAAGTGGAATGAGAGGTAGTGAAGCCTTCAAGCAGAGGCCAAGTGACAACTTGTTGGGCAATTTCCTGAGGGAATCACTTCATTGGGCCTTCTGAGATCTCCAGTTCATGCTGTGCCTTTGTCCTGACTCTTTCATGGTGCCGACCTTCCCAATTCCTCTTATTACAGCGCTTCTGCTCTTCCTTGTAGTCTGCTCACAAATCCTCCGAGGACAGTCTCTTTTTAAAGATTGTGGGGGAAAGAGAGGCAAGCTCGGATCCTTCTTCCCAAGCGAAGGTCAGTCTCATGAGCTGCTCCTTGTCCAGACTGATGATTCTGACCCCAGTAACCCAAAACTTGCCTTCTTGCCTTTGGACATTTCCCCAGGTCCCCCCCACCTCAACCCCTCTTTGTTTTTCTCAGAGCTCCTTTGCTGTCTCCTTCAGTCTCCAGTTTTCGACGCCAGCAGCTTTCAGTGTTAATGATCTCTTTTGAGAGAGGATTCTCTAGTTCAGCCTTCTGTGTTTGAGCACAACAGAAATCAGAATCAAACCCCTGGAAATGAAGGCTGATTAACCTAAAGAACTGAGACCAGGAAAGCCGCAGGAGATAAAGTGCCCTTAGGAGTGGGCTGGGCTGGGGCTAACAGCATTAACTTACATTGTATATTTGCAGCACTCAGGTTTCCTAAGTATCTTCCTCACAACTACTTTGTGAAGCAGCTAGGGCACTATGCACATCTTGCATATGGTGAAACTGAGGCTTGGGGATGTGAAGTGACTTGTCTGAGGTCACAGGGTTAGTATAGAAAATAGACCAGCTCTGTTCAAGGCACTGTCCAACTGTATGTCATAGTCCTCTAAAGAGGGCGTGAGCACCGAGGCAGGCCAGCCCCCACTGATCTGGACTAATTTAAAGGCCTTGGGAGCCTGGGAGCTTCAGCGATGGCTTTGCAATCAGGATGCTTATGGATGCTACCCCCACAGGTATGGGTTGGCTCCTTTTGTAAACCACTGCAACTGCCCCTTAAGGAGAGTCCCCATCCCAGTGGCAGACCTCAGGAGTCTAGAAGATGGACCAGAATACTTAAAAACAAAACAAAACTGTCAGTCTACGGACTTTTCCCATCTTACTTTATTTCACTGTTTTCTATAAAACTCCTCTGGAATTTCACAATTTAACAAAAATGTTTAAAATCCAGGACAGAAACAATCCTGTAACTTATTACAAACGTGATTCTCCTCATTTCTTTGATCCAGGAGTCTGTCTCTGGCCAGAAGAACATAGGAATTAGTTCAGTGCCAGAGATGTTCTGTTAAAAACCCTCCTGTGATAGAAGGTATTTAATACCTTTGCTTTCGGCATTTTTTGTTCATTCAAAGACACAGCAGAATACAAGGAATTAACACTCAGTTTGAGGCTTATGTACTTACATACTGTTTGTAAGGAGTGCAAAGGCAAGTCCCTCTCTCCTATCAAGTCTTGTGGAGTCCTCACCAATAGGGGCGGGGCCCGCAGCAGGGATGGTGTGTGTGTGTGGGGGGCACTCCTGAAACACTTCCAGAGCTTCTGTAGAAACATGAGTGCATGGAGAGGCCCCCACAGCCTGCTGACATCCAAAGGGACACCTGACAAACCTTAACAAGCACAGGGACTTTTTTTTCCCTTAAGGGTAAGGGTGGGGTAAGGGAAAAGAATCCAGGACATTATCCAGCAGAGTAAGTTAGAACAATCTGGCAGGCATTCCCTTGGCAAGAACAAAGGGACTGAGGGCTGGGTCCCTGCCCTCACCTCCCTCATTCCTTGTGTCCAAGCCTCCTGGAGAGAAGCCAACCTTCTGACTAACCAGTGCTTAAGGAATCTGCTCCTGATTCAGGAATAAACACAGGCTGGGGTCAGTGGCCCTTGAACCCCCAAAGGGCCCTTAAAAAAAAAAAAAAGAAATTTTGATGCCACAGATATCTCACGACTGTGGCAGTTATAAGGTTGCCACTGGCAACTCAGCTGTTGGCTACAACTGGGCTCCCTGCCTGCATACTTCAGCCAGCTTATTTTGTCCACTTTGGGGGTGGGGGGTTGGCAAGCTTCAAGGCAACTGCCAATTAGGGGAATGCTAGGCAATCTGCCTCTCAGTCATGTCTGCCATGAGTGTGGAGTACAGGAAACGTGGTGTGTACTTCTAATACTCCAAAGATATGGCTCTCACCACCAATCAGAGCAGAGAGTGGGAGTAGGAGATGAGGCTTCTCTTTTGAGGTCTGATGCACAGAACTGGTGGTTGCGGGGTGATCAGATTGCAAAAAGCACCCATTATAATTTTCCTTGGGGGCCTCAAATGATGGGACTTTTCTACTGAAAGTTGCCATCTGGAAGTGCCAGGGGCCACCGAGGAAGGAGAGACTTGAGTGCTGCCCCAAGGGGGCTCCCCAGAGCTAAGACTTGTTTCCAGAAGTCCTATCCCCAGTCCAACTGCTGATAGTGAGGACATGGCTGCAACTGGATGGAGTGAGGTATGAGGGGAGAGTGGTATCTTAGGTGCTACCGCAGGAAGGGCACCGTTAGGTGGCCCAAATACTCTGTCTTCTCCCCAGCCGTTCCCAGTACAGAAATTCTAATGCTCTCACAGTTCAAACACAAGTGCAAGGACTGGGGTAGGGCAGGGTGGGGTTTGTTCTATAGCAAGAAGGAAAGAGGTGTGCATGCTTTCAGGAGAGCTAGGCCAGGGGGCTAATGCTGAGTTGGTAGGGAGATCTGTTGTTCTTATGGGGCTTCTATCTAACCTTGTGCCAGAGCCAGGGGAAGAACTGACCTGGCCAGATCTTGGTATTAAAAGAAACAAAGAGGGGTGAGGGTGGGGGAGGGGATGAGGGAAGGTGGTACACAATGGGACCTTAGTGAACAGGAAGTGGATCCAGGTGGCCCCACGCTAACATGCTCATTATCTATCACCACAGAATAAACAGCTGCGCCAGAGCTGACAGACAAATGGGGGGGCATGGAGAGGGAGGAAACCAGGATGGGGTAGAAGACAAGAGTCCGGCTGCCAGGAGCCCGAGTGTTACCTGGAGCAGAGGGGAAAGCGCTGGGAAGTACCCCGACCATCCTGGGGCTCGGCCTGATCCAATCTTTTGCTTTTCTCCCACCTTATTTGGCAAAACCTCCATTTTCAGAGTTCAAAGAGTACTGAACAAAAGGGAAGAAGAGCCGGATCTAGGAGACAGCTTTAAACCATGCTGCATCCTGCTATTGAATAAGAGTCAGTGCTCAGAAACCGCTGCCAGTTTCACTAGGCAGGCATGTGTGTGCTTGGGTGTCAGAAGGCTCCCTCCCTCGGGCAGAAACCACTGCTCCTTAGTGTTCACTGGGGCTGAGCTGAGAGGCCTTCGACGTGGCCTGAGCAGGGCGGCAGCCACCCCACGACGTTCCCTTGTTCTGGTTTCCTTGGGCAGAGCCAAAAAGTTGGTACTTTCCGGAAAGGGCTTGGAGGAGTGAGGCAGTGGTGACAGGAAGAAATGGCCTGGACAACAGTGCCATTTTGGCCAAACAAGTCTCACCCTGACTGACTTCTGGATATGGCAAATAAGTCAAGCCTCCCCTCATGATTCAAAAAGTCCTTTTCCATTTTTAGAGTCAAACCTTAGTAACTGCCTTCCTCATCCCATGTGCCACTGCGATTAAGAACAAGGACCAGGAACATACACCCTGAAATCGGAAGCCCGACTCGGCGCTCATACATACATACATACATATATAGAATATATAGAGAATATATACAGCATACAGAGGCTTGGAATCCTAGGACAGTTAAAGCAGACTGGAAGAAGGGAGGCTCAGAGAGTGGCCACCCCGCTCATGGCTGAGACACAAGGCATCCTTGCCATAGAGCCAGACTGATTCCTTCCCAAGACCTGGCTGGGAATTTTACTTGTACCAAACTGTTCGGGGAGGGGAAAATAGGGCAGGCCCAAAGGATGGGGGAGGGGGAAATAGGGCAGGCCCAAAGGATGGGGGAGGGGATCAGGGTTTCTATTCCACAGGAGCCGACCCAGACGGCTCAGGAAGTCCCAACTGTCAAACCTGGGCCCCCGACGTGAACAACCTCCCTAGAGCTGAGCAAAGGTAGCTGCTGCTTTGGGGGATGGTCGTGAGGTCAGGTGAAGAAACCGTTTGCTGTGGCGCCAGTCAAGTTCTTCCTATCTCAAAAGGAGACCCGATGTGTTTCTTGACACAAAAGCAGTTTTCAAGGTAAAACCGAACACAATGACTCTCTGTGGGGGAGGGATGCTCGGCTCCTCTTGCTCTGCTCAGACCTGTGCCCAGGACTCTTCCCGTAGCTAAGGGGAGAGGCCTGTCGAGCTGGGCGTTCAGAGAGCGTGGCTGTTCGCTAAGGCAGTGCTGCGGGTGAATTGAGAGAGTAAGGTCTACTTGTGGGGACTGGTTTCCTGGTACTGGGAGACTGGCCTGACGGTTTCCCAAGGCGCCCGCCGTCTGGACCCAGTGTCATGTGGCCCCGGCCTCGAGGTAACTCTGCAGCTTGCGGACGGTGGTCTCATCCAGAGAGAAAAGGTCAAAGTCAAAGGTGGTGTTGGTGACATTAAAGTGTCCGGTCTCCTCGATAAGGTTGACAATCTAAAAGAGAGGAGGCAGGGGAGCTTACTTAGGGAAAGATGGGAGAGGGAGCCAAGGCCACAAGAGGACATCCATTCTCTAGAGGCATCACCATGAGAACCAGGAGGGAGGCATGAGACAGGGAGGGAATGGGCAACCAGGCTTAATGCCAAGAGCCCCTGGGGCTAGGTGAGAAGATAGCCCGGCCACTGAGAGCCAGCCCGAGAACCCAAGGACACTGGTCTTGTCACCCCATCGAAGCACGTAAGTTAGGAACACTACGGGCAACTCAAGTACGGGATCATGGGTGGGACTGTGAAGAAATCCTTGCTGGCGAGGGCTTCCCCACTAAGATCTAGTTCTTCAGGTAACTTTGGAGGAGTTAAGGCCCTGCAGTCCAAAACCTACCCTCTGCACAGGTAACTGAAGAAGCAGTATGTGGTACATAAAGCTAGTCCTCAGGGGACCACTAGAACTGCCCCATATCTCCAGGGCAGAGGAGGGCCCAAGTCGCTTCCTTGTGGGTCACCCCAGGATCCAATCGTCACTCACAGGGACACTGTCTGCCTCTTCTTGATGGCCAGACTCTGGTCCCGCAGGTGAAGTCTCACCGTGTCTAAGGGATCTGGATCAAAGGGACCATAGAGAAAGGGAATGACCGATACCTGCTGCAGCACATTGCGTTCACGTAGGGCCATGAGCCGCCGGTGCAGCTCCACCAACTCATCTGTGTAGGCCTGCAGTGGAAAACTTGGGTGAACTCAGGCACTTACCCAGGCTACGTCCCCTTCTACCCCACCTCCCCCAACTCCTTCCTTCTGTGAGACGGCTGGGGGCAGCAGGGACGAAACTAAGGGGAAATTATCGGTAGGACTATCCCAAGGCAGGAAGGTAACTGAGGGCTCCTGACTCACATCTGGGTATTTCAGGCACAGAGGCTACATTCACTACTGAGGAAGTTCAAGTGGAGTCATTAAGTAACCCAGGAGAGGTAGCGTCAGAGTACAGACACCCAAAGGTTCCAGTTAACTAAGTCCTCCCTTCTGGAAATCTGCAACAGCCTGAATGGGTCAGCTCCATTGCTGACTCTGCCGGTGAAGGAAAGTGAGAAGGCCAGAAGATCCGGGCCCTAAGACTAACTTCACCTGGGAGAGACATTTAAAGCCCAGGGAAGTAGAAGGAAAGCTCTAACACGGAATCTTTCTGCACCCTTGCAGTGTTTAGACAGGTGATGTTCCTCACCTCTCTGGCCCTTTTCATGACACTTTCCGTGTGACCCAGCCCCAATCCCAGTTCACCTTGTCATATGTTCCCTTCTTCAGAATTTTTTCTGGTTTGCTGCAAGATTCTGGACTCTTCCTTCCAGATGCCTAGAGGATTTAAAAAAGAAAATTTCACCTTTATTAAAAGTTTCAGGGGCAGCTAG